CATCGGTTAAATTGAACTTAAGATACTGATCTGCACAGATAAACTGATTAACAAAAGGTCAAATTTGATCAAATTTGATTTTAATTAGAGAAAATTGGAATAAACTAAATTCACGTATATTACATTTGTTGGACTCATTCTAGTAAGTGTAACTATTAACAATAATGTAATATATACATAATATATTATGTGATATTTAATTTGCATACTTTTAGGATGCTCATGATATTTTTTCAATTTTTTTTTTGTAAAAAAATCATTTATTAACACTTAAACTAGGACAAAACCCACTAAAAGAGAACCCTTATGATTTATGATAGTCGAAATTTATAATGTTTTGCAACCATTTTAGGGCCAAAGAAGTTCTAAAAATAAAACTTTAATAAACAAATCGCCAAAATTTCGGAGAAGCATTTTTTAAATATTTGATAAAAGTTTTGAATAAATATTTTTTTGATTTGTTAAAATCAATAACTACAATTGTAATCTGTGGCGATGAGACCGCCTTGCACATTCTCTGCGACTGTCCGGCACTGGCTGTTCGGCGCCGCAATTGTCTTGGACATGGGTCCCTAAGTGTTCGGGAACTGTTGTCCAACTCCCTTAGGGATATCTCCGGCTTTGTGATTGGGACGGGGATATTATAGACGGGGGAGTGGGGTAGCTTCAATAAGTCAAAAATGGCTGCGGTGGCTTGGGGGGATGCTCCTGTCCCACTCGGATCCCTTGGAATCTACAATCTACAATCTGTGGCGAAACCCATTTGTATAAAAAACAACAAAATATTAAAATTTTTATAATTTTGTCGTTTAATACAAACAATAATTTTTAACAATTTATTACAGTAATTACAAATAATATGTAAATATACTTGCGCGTGAACATAATTATGGATATATATATATATATATATATATATATGTAATTATTATTATATTATTATTTTAAATTGTAAAATTTTCTTATTCAACTTTTTAATAATAAAAAAAAAATTTCGACAGAAACACCAAATATTTTTTTTTAAATTAATTTTAATTATTTAAAATAATCACAACATTTTAGCTCTTAAATATTTTTTATTTATAGAATATAAGAAAAAAATAAAAACAAATATACAAAATAGTTTCTTCTTAAGATGTTATTAAAATAATAAATAAATAAATTAAAATAAACGCACGAAAAATACTTTATTTTATAAGAATGTATTTAAAATTTAAAATAGTTGTTGTTATTTGTTAAATATTTAAATTTATTCTATAGCAAATTTATTTAAGATTTTTATGTTAATTTTCTTGTTATATATGTATATATGTGTATATTGGGGAAATAAAATATGAGAACAATGAACTCTAGAATCACTGTATGTAAATATATTAAGAGTATATTTGGAAAATTTTATTGAAATTATAAAATATTTTTAATATTCTTAGATATCAAATGTAATCATTTTTATTATAGGTACTTAATAAAAAAAAGCATAAAATTTAATTAGTTTTATAGCTCGTTTTTTGTTATATACACCATATTTTATATTAATTAAATTAATAACCAATAAATTAATAATATATGAATAAATAAATAAATAAATATTATTGAATATTTTGCTTTTTAAATATTACGAAAATTTATATCAAAAATTTTGTTAATATTATGAATTTTAAATGAAAATTCAAAACTAAATCATAACACTAACATTTCACTAATAAATTGTAATTCCAAAAATAATTCCATCACTTCGAATTTTGCGAAGTTATTTTCGTAGAATTAAGAATTGATTTGTTCCCTTTAAAGGAATATATCGCACTTTATCCACTTTATTATGTAAAATCATGAAATATGAAAATATTGCCGGATGTACTTTGTAATGAGACACTATTTTATATTAAAAATCTGTTATACTCGAGTAAAACCTAATTTGCTTGAACTATCGGAAAAAATGTGCGTTAATAGTATTTCATATAAATAGATTAGTATATGACTTGTAGTGTTCTACTATTCACTGAGTGTCTTATACGTTAAGAGTTTTATATGCTCTTAAATGGAAGTGTTATAATTAAATGGACCTGATATTTACTAGAGATTTAAATTAATTGTATTATATGTAAGTTAAGCAATAAAGATACTCGTAATTTATTAAAAAATTTATATGATGAATGAATGCTTCCAATTTTTTGAAAAATTTTTACTAAATGTGGTGTATTATAATTATATAATTTTTTTTTTGTGTATTACTCGTAAACATAAAAAATATTTTTTATTCTAATTATTAATCCACTATAATTAGAGCTAGGTTATTATTCAAATAATTAATTTCTATATTAATGTATGTATATGTAGGTCAAAATATACTTTAACAAATGCGCTGTAGAGAAAAAACAAACTTTTTGTATACAAAAAAAAATTATTATATCCAGTTTCATCACAAATATTTTGAAAATATTTAATAGCATTTTAACTATATGTATATTTGTATGATATTATTAAATATTCATATATACAAAGTATACATAAATATTAAATGAACAAAATGGTGATTTTCATAATAATATTTTATAATAATAATTATTTATAGAATTTAATATTTTTGTATGTACGAGTACATCTGTATAACGGTTTACTAAATTATAACAAAAATATATTTAAGCATATTTTTATAAAATAGAATTTTTTAAATTTATTATCGCATATAATACAAATGAAAAAAAATTTAGTTTCCTTACAATATTTTTGTGAATATTCATGAATTTATTAAATTTTGACAGTCTTATGTCAAATTGTTTAGCTGAGCAATCTTATGTCAAATAATGTTTAAACATATTTCACTTTTATCAGACTGGTTTTAATCGCAAGGTTTTCTGTTTTTTTTTTGTAAACATTACCTTATTAATATTATAATTAAACATTATAGAGCATTAACACCTGTTACGATATATCATAACAGATATCAAATTTGGAACAGAATTTATGAATATAAATTTAAAAATTCGATCTGTTTTCAAGTTTTTGTTAAAAAATACAATTAATTTTATTCAATTTTCAAGTGCAAAATTTTTTATGGCAAATCAAAGAGACTGTTATTACTTTCATACAGTAGATGTTGCATCTACTGTAAGAAAGTAGTAAGGTATTGTGCTCAAAAAATCTCGAACAAGCAGTTTTTATAATCAACTACAGTAGTATATCATAAGTAGAATTCGTTTAATCATAATAAAAATTCCTTTTAGATGAAGATTTTAATTAAAAGAATTTTAACAATTTAATTGAAAAACATACTGTTTCATTGTGAATTATTTCAGACTGCCCTCGCTATCAATTTCGTAAATTAACATTTTTAATTATAAATATCTTTCAATAATATAAACAGCTGCATCTCATAATAGAAAACGATTATCGTAAAAAAAATTAGTAGCTAAAATTAAACTTTTAAAAAATATGATCTTGTTATTTAATAGGTTATAGCTATTACTTATTTTAACTTCAAATCATAATTTAATGATAGCTGATGTTAGAATTTTTTCACATTCCCCCATATAAAAGCAAAGAGAAAACTTCATAAATATCAAAAGAATTACATATAAATTGTATTTAATAACAATTCATTTGCATACAGTCACATCTAAATAACCTAACTACTTATTTCTATATGAATTTCTCTATATCTATAGATATAGATATAGATACTCTTAACAATAATATTATGCACATTAAAAATTTAAAACAAATAATTTATTTCCTAAAACAAAAGAATAAAAATGGCAAAACAAAAAACAAGAAACAAGACAAAACAAATTTTACATATATAATTACATATGTTTGTACATGTGTTGCTGATGCCCCCTATTTTCTAATTGTAAATCAGATGATTCACAGAAATTCATCGTAGACTCGTATTCGTGTAGAGAAGAGAAACAAGAAATAACAAAAAATTATAATGAAAACAAAGAAAAAACTAAAAAACAAAAACAGAAAAAATTATTTATAAGAGAGCTTTTAAATTTTAGAAAAAAAAAACAAACAAAAAATTTATATTTTTAATTTTCTATTTTCAAAAAGAAAATTTCACTTGTAGTTGTAGTAGTAGATTAACGCGATTGCACAAAATATTCTTTTACAAAATTATTTCAAAATAATCTCATATATTCTAAAATGGGAAATTTTCTAATTTAATTTAAAAAAAAAAGAAAATTTTAAATTTTCGGAAATATTGAAACAAAAATAAGACATGAACTTTAAATAAATAATTAATTTATTGAAAGAAGGGAAATTTAAAATTAGATCAGGTGACAAGCCGTTGATTCGCACAATATTAAAAAACACATTCACAATATACCAATCAAAATTATAGTGATTGTAGTTAATAAACGAGTAGGGATTTGAATTAAATTTGAATTTTAAAACAAAAATTACAAAATTTTGCAGCTCTATTTTGCTCTAACTACTGTACTATTCTAGTACTATTTTGCTCTAACACCCTTATAATGTTATTGAATAGTACAAGTAGTATGTTTAATATAAATATAATAACTCTCCGCAACAATACATTCTTAATCAAATCCAGCTATACATTCCAATTAATGTACGTTCTATCATATTTGCATATAAACTTTACTAAACATGTTTTAATATTTTACTTTTTTTAGCTCCGAAATTCTCATTTTAGCCAACTTTTTCTCGAAAATTTAAGGTCAGATATTATTACCAATAATGGTAACTCTGTATTGCGCGACTCCGAAGTTATTATCATTTATTTATATGAAGAAAAAAACTGGAATCAAATTTTTTCACCAGACTGTAGATTAAAATCGAGTATATGCGTCCGGGCCCTCCCACCGTACTTATACGATTTATTGCTGAAAATTGATCTGATATCATCTCTGAAATTATTTGATAACGTATGCGAAACACTCTGTTTTTAAATTTCGAAATTAACACTAGTTACTCTGAGAGTTATGCGATAATGAAAATATTCATAATTTTATTGATAATTCAAACATACATACCTGGCGGATTAACACTTCCTTTCGGTTTTACAGTATTCTTTACAGTATATTGTCGTCGTTTTTTTTTTCTCAAATTTCTTTGATTCCTTTTTGTTTTATTTTATTTTCTTCTATATAAATTTTAACCGGAAATTGTAAAAAAAAAATATTGCGTTTTCAAACTATATATAAACAAAAACGCATATATACGGCAACATATGTTTGTTTGCATATGTGTAGGTATTATATTTTCATGTATGACATATGTATATTTATTTTAAAAAAATGTGTACGTGTGTGTGTTTGAAATTTATATGTTTGAATATATTATGAATTTTGATAGAAAATTTTTGTATTTTTATTTGTATTTGTTATAAATATAAATTAAAAAAAAAAAATACTGGGTAATAATTTTAAAAATTTTTTTTACTATTTTTATAATAATGCGTTTCAATTCTTTTATTTTTTTATCAATTTAATGATGCATAAATTTTATTTAATTTATGTTTATAATTTTTCGATGTTCGTATTGCGATTTTATTTCTTAGAATTTTTAAATATATTAATGAATAAAATTTATTTTAAGTATTTTTTAATTATATTTTTATTAATTTTTTTTTTATTTAATAAATTAATATTAATGAAAACCTTAAATTAAAAAATAGTTGTATTAGACTTAAAATGTGTATATTAATTATTGTTATAAATATATTTAAATCTTTAATTAGAAAAAAAACTAATATTTTCAGCTAATTTTTGTATATATGTATATAATTTAGTTTATTTAAAAATTATAATTTTAAAGGAAATTCAAAAAATATATATAAATAATTGTATATAATTCGCATATACTCGTATATACAGTTATTCTTTCATTATTTATATATAAATTTTCAAAAATTATTTTTAATTTTATATTATAAGAGTAAATAAAAGGAAATTAAAAATTTCACACTAATACGAGTACATACACATATATAATGCATGTATTAAAAAATATTTTTTAATAAACAAAACAAAAATTTCCTTTTCAAAAAATTTTGTTCGAAAATTTTCATTATCCGAGTATACGAATACAAAATTTGATATAAAAATTGAAAATTTGCATGTGTATTTGTATTATAATGATTATATTTTCAAAAAATATTTATATATTATAAGAAACAGTGTGTTACAGAATGCATTTTAATGACAATTAAATTTTCCATATTATACATAATATTGTACGTCAATTTATTTATATAGTTGTAGTAGATATAACAACAGATGTCACTAATGTAAATTAAGTAATTATATTTACGTATGTACAGAGAAAAAAAAATTTATAATATTAAAAAATAATTTTCGTAAAACTGTTAAGAACGAAAGCGCGACAATGTAAAATACATACGTATGAAAATAATTCTATTGATAATGAGACCAAACCGCTTAAATTAAGTCTAGTAACTAGATCGAAGTAAGGTAAACAATACTTGAATTTATGTGCACGAATCTATAATAAAAAAAAATATGGGTTCAATTCTGTCTATTCTAAGGCACTCGAAAATTTTGATGGGATAAATTAATTCTTAAAAAAAAACATTATTTAATTTCAGAAAAAAAATTATTAAATTTTGATAAATATTATTAAAGTAGATAATTTCTTAAACGAGAAATATTTTTTTTAATAAAATAATAAAAACTTAATTTACTCGGCAATACCAGATTTTGACTTAAGCAGTTGTAGTTTAATAATCGCCACTTATTAAATGTTATCAATTGCCACTTATTAAAATCTTAAAACGTTTTAGCTTTTGACACTTATTAAATGTTAAACACTCTTTAATTTTTAAATGTCACTGCACTACAATGTGAGTAAAAAACAATACAATAATTAATTTATAAAAATTATGATGACGTCTAAAAAACATCTGAATATGTGATGTCAACAAAATTGGACAGACCCAATGCTATTAATATTTTTTATTAATCTTTTTATATATAACAGTACATATATATGCCTATACATATTTGTTGACATGTACTTGTATATATATTATTTCAGTTAGAATCGAGAATCGTTTTAATTTTCATAATTTAAAATTGTTTTTTTTTTTTTGCTAATTTTGCATTCATTTTCTCTCAGTGTATTTAATAATTATTATTAAATAATAATAAAATTAAAAATAAATTTTAATGTATTTATTATTAAATTGCTGAATGGAAATTAAATTAATAATTTTTTATTATTTTATGTTCCCAAATAATAAATTTATTCAATTTTATTTTATTACTCGTATTACAAATTATTTAGATTGTTAAAAAATTAATTATTTTATATATTTACTAATTTATTTTATTTTAATAATTTCGTGTGTATTTACTTATTCGGGTAATAAATTTTATTAAAATTCAACTTAAATTTCTTTATTCAAAATTTATATAAGTAAGTAATATTAACTATATATAAATGGTTGCATCATAAAAAAAATTACATCATATAAGTCTGTTATATAAAATCAAAAAAAAATTTTTAATAAAACATCGAATTTGATGAGCAATTTTTCTGACAAATTTTAATAAATTTTTGTTTTTATATCATTTTAGAATTAATTATTATTAAAATTTGAAATATATGTCATATGCGCATTATACACTAAGTATAACAGATATGATTCAGAATAGAAATGAATCAATTTTTTATTTACATAATATATGACCTGTATGCATAAAGAAATGTACATATATTATTTATTTAAGAAGAGAGATAATAAAGAAGATAAATTAATTAATTAATATTTTCTGAAGCAAAACGGAAAAGTTAATTAAAATAGAAAAATATTTAAAGACTAATGTTTATATATAATTATATTTTTAGGAGTAACATTTTTAAATTAACTATGGACATTACATGAAAATTATGAAATAATCAATTCTAAGAATGTAAGTATTACTTAATTATCCAACATAATTTACTATTAAATTTTCCGTTATACTTAATTATCCGATACTCATATGTAGAATTTATTATCCGATACTTATACGAAAATGATATAAAATTTTAATAACTCTTCGAAGGTCGTCGAAAACAATGCAAACTTGTACTTTAACTAACTCTACTTATAATTAAACTTTGACTAATCAGTAATGATATACTTTGTCGCGTAAAACCTTATCCTTGTTGCATGTCCTTCCTGTTTCTATAAGTATATCGCAGTAAATGCGATTTTATTAAAATAGAGAAGCTGTTTGTGTCTTTAGAAAATATTCATATCTTTAAACAATAATTATAGTCCTTTATTGATTAAATGGAGTTATGTCGACCCTGTATATTAATTCTGTTATTTGCTCTTACAATTTTATATATATATATTTCTAAAATTGTGTTTTATAAACGACAAATTCATTTTATAAATATTTTAAATATTTTAGTTATATTTCAAATATTTATTTTAGATCCAAAATGTCCCAAATTTAAATTTTTAATTTACAAACACTTTTTGATTTATATAGGGTAAGAGCATGTATTTTATAATTCCACTTTCTAAATAATTTAATTCTACTATAAATAATTCTAATTTATATATATATATATATAAGTATTTGGATATACTTAGTTTAAGAATTGGAAAAAAAATTTGGCGCCACTCTTTTTCTTATCTCTGAAATCTTGTATTAATTTAAAAAAAAATTTCTATTTTAAAAATAAGAATCCATTCGGTAACACACTGTACACAAATATGACGTTATATTTATATATTATATAGTATATCTTTGTTTATATATTTATTTATTTATTATATCACTGAACATATTATTATACACATAATGTATTATATGTGTTATACATATAATAGTAGATAATATGCGAGTTGTATATAGAAAATTTTTACATTTTCTTTTTTTCTATATCTAATATGTACCGTTACGTAAAAATCTTATAATATTTTTTTTTTATTTTAATTGTTTTAAAAATAATTTAATAAATAATAAATTACAATTAATTAATTTAAATTCATAGATTTATGTAGATGTATGTAGATGTAAGTAAGTATATAGGTAAATAAAAACAAGCACATAAAATTTATTTTTTAGTTAAAAAATAAGGAGAAAAAAATTCTTTTTTTTTGGTGATTAATCCGTTATAAATTCTAATTAAGTTCCTTTTTTTTGTAATTTTTTTTTTGAATTTTTTAAATTAAATAAAAAAAAATCACTATATTAAAGAAATTATTAGGTATAAATTGAATAAAATATTTTTTAAAATTTAAAATTTTCTAAATTTAAAAAAAAAAAGGTTTTAATTTTTTTTTTTATATTTGCGATATTCGAATTGTTTTTTTTTTTTTTTATATTTTCTTTCTTTTTCTTTTTATTATTATAATTAAGTCGGAAGTTTTCTATTATAAAAAAAAAAATTTAATTTTTTTTTTCTTTATTTCGTTTTATATATTTTTTTTTTTAGCTTAACTAATCCATCGAGAATATCAATTGAGACTGAATTCTCATCATTTTACATTAATTGTATAAGAGTTCAACTATTAGAGAAAAACAAGAACAAGAAAAAGTTTAAATTTTGTCGTTATAAACAAGAGAGAGAGAGTCGCCGCTGCCGCTGCGCGTTTTACGATCGAAAATTTCATCTGATTTTTTTTTAACAATATTGTTGTTGTATTTTGAATAATTATTTATTTGAATTTTTAAAACAAACAATTTAAATAATACACGTAAAGTTGTATGTATGGAGGAGCGAAAGAATTGAGAGAGAGAGTACTTTAAATTTGCTTCTTATATCTTTGAATTTCAATGATTTTCGAAAATATATACATATATATATGTAAGTAAATTTGTTTTAAAGATACGTTTACATAATTTGAATTTTTTGGTTAAACAAATTATTTTTAACTAAATTTTTAAATTTTAATTTCAAATACTTTTTAAAAATATATTCGTATTTTTAAATATTTCAGATTTTAACGTGAAAAAATTTATTACTTAGACAGACATGCAATATTAGTAAAATAGTTTTTAGTAAACAGTAGATGACAGCAAAATTAAAAATTGCACTTCTGCCTAAGCTCTTAGAATACCTACATATTAGCAACCACTTGCATAATATAAGAAGAATGACATTTGAGGTTAAATTTGAGCATAATATGGTCATCGTAGCTCTTCTTAGCAAAGTACATTATGGATATAACAAAGCACATTATGGATATTAATGTTTAATTTAATAGCAATTGTTCGAAGATCGTATGTTATGAATTTCTAAAATGTTATTGGCACCCAACAGATCATATATTTGATGGTTAATTAGCATAAATTAGAATGGCTTTTTGTTACCACATAAGAAATAATCAAGGAATATTAAGTGACATATGAAATCTATTGTCAATTGAGAGATCTGTTTATCAAAATCAGGTTAACTTTAACTTTTGATCGTCGTAATGCCATTACATAATTTGATATTTTGCTAATGATCACTCGCCGCACACATTCGTAATAAATATTAAAAAGTACAGTGGCAATTTGGCAGTTAATTTGAGAGTTTCGATGATTTTTTAACTAAAATTTGAAAAAAATATATAGGTTTAATAGATCCTATGTCACAAGTACTTAATTTAATATTTGCTTACAAAATAGTTAACATAAAAACCAAAACGAAAACCAAAGGTTTATTTGAAATGAATTTTTGATATTACGAGCCAGAATATAATTTTAAGAGAAAATAAACCGTAAAGGTCTCACATACATCACATTTCGTATCACATATATACGCATAAAGTGAACAATATTAGATAACATGATACAAAAACGTTGATTGAATATTTTTATGTCATAATTGTTTTTCTCTCCAATTTGTAGTGATCATTTTCTATTTTAATTTTGTTAAGTTATTGAATTTCGAAAGTATTTTTAAGCTTTTTCGAAAATATTTGAAAAAATTTCTTGCGTGTACATACCAAAGTGTAATTGTATGTTCTTACGCCGACAATATCGATAGACAATATACATAACATATGTATAATATATTGAATATTTAAGAAAAACCTTTAAATACAAAATGTAAACAAATTTTTAATGTTAGTCACACTGATAATAACTTAAAGGTGTGGGTACAAAAACGCAATTAAAATGAGAATTTCGACAAATAAAGAAGTTGAGCGTAAATAATACAACGCACATTTTCACTTTAGTTACGCATATATTGATGACAAACTTTAAAAAATTTTTATTAATTAAGAATATAGACTAATTATAAAATTAAAAAATATTCTGAAAGATGTTCTTGCCAATTTTATTATATGCATTGCTTGTTCGAGTTCCTTTTTTAATTTTTAATTAAAACTATTCACTAAAGCTTTCAAAATCGTTTTAGTCAATGTAAAAATGTTAATGTTAAGTAAAATTCACAAGATTTCTGAATTAAACTGTTAATGAATTTGCTTCCATCCGAAATCTAAGGTTTATAAGATATAATGCTCGAACTCGAAAAGTATTTAGGTGATTAAAGACAAATAATTAATAATTTCTTTGAGGAAAAGACATTTACTGCTAGCTTTTTGGTTTCACAGAAATTTGGAATAGCTTAATCTGAAAAAAAAAAAAAACCAAAAATACAAAAATTTTAATTTTACTAATTTTGAAACGGACCCTTGAAAGGGGTAAAATTTTTGGTTTCTACACACTACTAAAGTCTTAGACTTATAAAATTATGCCATTTAAGAGTAAAAATATGCCTGTCATGAAAATATGTTGATGTTTGCGTATGCTGTTTTACAATAGGTCCCAATTTCTTAGAAACGGGAAACTCTAATTTTTCTGTGTTTGTAAAATTTGAAAATATTTTCTATTTTCATTACAATTTATTTTAAAAAATGGAGTTTCTAGAATTTCGATGGGCAATAATTTTTAAATAGTTGGAGGTCTGAAATAAATATAGAGATCTCGATATGATTCCATTTGTATAACAAATTTCACTATTAGATAAATTTTCGAATCATCTCGATAATTTTGCCACTTGCCCTTTTAAATGATAAGATGATAAAAGAGCAAAAATTTACAAATTTAAGCTTGCTAGATCTACGTTTTCTAAATTTAGTAATTGCAAAATTAAGTACACAGACAAATGCAGAACAAATACAGAAAAAAAAAATGATAAATTTATTAAATTTTATATTAAAAAGTTGCAGTTCCGACACTAAATAAAATAATAATGAAACAAAATTTCAATTAAATTCCTCAATTTATACTAAATTTATTTCAATAATTTTATTATATGCAAACAAATCATATAAAATTTGCAAAAATAAAGAAAAAATAATTATTTATTTATTTTAATTTTTAAAATTTTTTAAATTTTTCACATGCGTGTTTTGAAAATCAATTATAAAACGTAAGCATTACATTTTCTTTAACTCTTCCTTATACTATTTTAAAAAAGTGTTATATTAGTGCAAATTCATAAAATGTTTATTAAACCGTATAAAAAACAAAAAAGCATTATATTAATAAAAAAAATAAAAGTATAAGTATATTTAAATGAGGATAAAATTTAATTTTTTTAAATATTGATTGTAATATTTCCAAAATAATTGTATAAAATTATTATGAAAATGCATTTATTATTGCTTTACAGCATTTTAAAAAATATAAAACGCAATCAAAAAATATTAAACAACAATTAAACATAATTTATTATAAATAATAATGATAATTAAATAATTCGAATTAAATAATAAGTAATTGGAAAAATTGAAATTTGATTTTTATTCAAATGCGATTATTGTATAACAAAGATGTATAAACATTTTCATATCGCATATAATAATTTAATAAATTTTAAATCCTTAATTGCGAGGTAATTAAAAAGTATACAAAGTAAGGTAATAATTATACATACATTTTCATAGTGTTACATTTAAGGGCAATGTAACACTCTAACTTTATATAACCATCTACTATAGTGTATAACAATTTAAAGTACGTCATAACTTTTATAATAGAAGTAGTTAAGAGAAGTGATGGCATTTTAATTTAAAATTAATGATGTTTATAAATGTTTAATTATTTTGGAAAGATAAATTACATAATTATCTTGAGTCCGTCCATTCCCCCTTGCGTATGTACACATAAATACCAGGCAAAAAGCTTACATTGTACAAGGATCTATATTTTACTTTACGAATTATTTCTTTAAAATAAAATATTCTACTATCACTAATAAATCTTAAGTCATAGCTTTCAAAGTACTAAAAATATCAGTTTTTCACAACTTATTGTTATGGAGCCAGGAGAAATTTTTCGATTTCGTAATTCATAATCTGATTCATAATCTCTCAAAGTTTATAAAAATTTAAATATTTAGAAAAACATTTTTTAAATTAATACAATTTTTCTAATATTCCTCCTATAAATATGCAACAAGAATTGGTTACATATAAATAAAAAGAAAAATCCTTTTTTGCATTCCCGCCTTTTGAATTTTAATTGTATTAGTTTTTACTCAAATTTTAATCTAGAAATCTCAAATTTTAATCTCAAATTTTAATTCTAAATATTCATTTTTGTCATTAGAACAAATAATCATTGTTATTGAGTACATTCGTCTTTTTGAGAGTACCTTTCCACTTCTAAAGCTTCTATTAACTTGAAACTTCCCTAACCTAAGACAAAAGAGTATAATTCAGGAATAGTTGCATAAAATTTATTCGAATTTTTTACGTCCTTTAAGTTTATGTGTAGAAACTAAGTCTGTATTTGTAGTTATATGTAGTTTAATTTGTTTTGTACCCTTGTATAACAGATATTGTATAACAGAAAGTGTTATACAATATCTGTTCGTTGTATAGTAGTATATAAAATAGTTTTTTCATATTAATGCAGATTGTTAATTTTTTTTTTTTTTGAAAAAATACTTATTAATTTATGGTTTTCAATTTTGGCGTTTGTAAATTTTAAAATAGTTTTAATTCTACTTCCTAATACACTATAATATACACTCAGTGTTATCGATTACATATAAAAATTTCAAATATTCTACAAGAAAATTAATAAATAAAATTATCGTAATTATGCTCATTTAATTAACCCTTTATAAACCAATCATCTTATGGTGTTCTAAATTTTTATTGAATTTTTTAAAATCAATTAGGATAAAAAAAATATTTAAATTTGTGTGCCAATTCATTACTATGCAATTATTTACATTATTAATATTGTTTTATAGTATTACATAAAATAGAAATGGTTAAAACAAAAAATAAGATTATATCACAAAATAATATTATGCTTTTATAATATAATTAAATTAATTATAGTTATGCTTAAATCAAACAGATAAAAAATATTTAAACCACATTTTCATTTCCTACAATAACAATTACTTACCTTGCACTTGATGTATGAGGAAGAATGAATTTATTTTATATTTTATAATAAATTTAGTGCAAATTTTCTTTTTCTTTTATTAACATAATTAATTATTATGAAAATTATATGCCCACACTAAATAACATATAGTTCATATAGAGTATTATAATTTTGTATTTTCGTTTATATACAAAAAATAAACAATATAGAAATTATGTAAGATTACACTAAAATTAACATAAACGTCATGTCTGAAAACAAGACAAATTAGGTAATATTGTAGCATATTACTCATAGTCTACTAGATATTGAAAATATTTTGCATGTCTAGTGCATAAATTTACACAATTTTGTCCTAGACGTACTAAGGATGATTCTCCCCCGCACGCAAACTTTAATAGACATTAACCTTAAAATAGACAACAATTTAGAAATTAACCTTATAATAGACAATAATTTTAGCAATAAGTACAAACAATGCCATTTCCTTTGTTGCTTTTTACAATTTTATAATATTATTAACAATTAATTTAATAATTTTAAAATTAATTATTGGAATTAACTTTAAAATGGTATGGGGGTTTTAATTAATTCAATTCTAGAATATTTCTAACTTTTAACCCTTTCGAATGTTCAGCACACACTGATAATAAAAAACGTTCGGAAATTACTCGCTGTAATGAAGTGCGCTTTTAGAAGCGTTCATTCTGAAGTAAAGAAATGTTTAAAATTTCAAAATTTTCATTTTCCTAACAATTTATTGAATTTTCGAATGACAGATAATTTTGTTTATCAGATAATTCAGTTTCTGTATACAATTTGTAGACTGCGTAAGAAAAAAATTTTACTGAAGTTTTTACAATTTAACTGTTTAACGCCTATGGCCAAAAAAAATTTGAAAACTTAATGTAGAATTTTTAGTGCAACGTGCATAAACATAAATCCTCTATAGACTCAGTTCCAGCTTTGGTTTGTTTGGTGTCGTATGCGCTTCCCAAAAAAGTGCACGCCCTACCTTATTGTGCATAATAATTGTGTCCCTATTTTCCAGTGCTCTTTGCATATATGGTAAATGCGACGCTGTATGTAACTATTTAATAACGCATTACATAGAACATAACAAAACTTTTGACAAATGAAGTAAATTTTTCATTTCAAAATTTCGCTTTTTGTGCTTTTACAGCAAAATGGTGTTTACATTTTCAATATGTAATTGATTTTGAATTTAATTTACTTTTATTTTAATAAAATTTAAGAAAAATTAATTTTCCAATCTTATTGTAATACTGATCAAATTTAAATTTCCTTATATTTTCTTTTAAATTAAGCTATAACATATATGTATATAATATAATATTTAGTCAAATTATTAGAAAAAAACAGAATTAATCAAATCGAAAGTGAATATAGACACCATAAAAAAAACGCTAACAAGAAAAATATTTTTTCTATAGACGTGTATATGAAAATCGTGTTAAACGCAATAATTATATGCCTCACATATTACAAACTTGTATAATATGAAATACAAGAAAAACTCCATAATTCACTGCATTTGCTTTCTTGCACATTATATTGAAATATTAATAATTATGTTAAATTTTTGTTTATAAATAATTTTTTATAGATAGTTAATATTTTAAAAAAGAAAAGGAAAAACAAGAAAATAATTAAAAATTCTGAGGAAATTTTTTTTATTTTTCTTTCTATTTTTTGTTTTCGTTAATTTTCTTTCCTATTTAATTTAAATTTCATTTCCTTAAAAATTTTTGGATTTTGTTATTTCTCTAATAACACTTTTTTACTCCAACATACTTAAATTTTTATTTTTCCTTAATTATTTTACATGTACATATGAAAAATAAAAAATATAGTGGAAATAAATTTGTGTTTTCTTATTTTTTGTTATTTGTTAATAAATTTTCTATTATTTCTTGTTGTTTTTTGGAAAATTTTTTAAAAAATTATTTCACATATTATTTTTAATAATTAAAAATTTAATTAAGATATATAAAGGAGTTGCAAATTATTGTTTGAATCAGATCAAATCGTAACACGGTTAGAAACAGATATCAGAAAAAAAAACAAAAAATTAATCGAATATCGTGAAATCAAATCAAAAAAAGGATATAAAAGTTTTTTAATAAAAATTTAATTAAATTAAATTGTGTTTTAAATAAAAAGTGTTGCCGTAATGAAATTAACGGTGAGTTAGAATATTATTAATTGAACAATTCTAAACTAGAGGAAATTTAGTGAATAAATCACAAAAAGGATAAAACAAAGTTAAATTTGTGACAACTAAGCAATAAATTAGAGCTTAAAAGGATAAAAAATTCAATAATTAAAAGCCAAATATTTGATTTTTAATTAAAAATTTTATTTGCTGTGAAAACGTTTTGGAAATTAATATAAGAAATTTGGATTTAAATCTACTTTTTATATTATACTTAATCAAAAGCACAGTGATTAAGTTTGATTCGCTTTTGAGAAAAAGACATTACTAAAATTACTTAAATAGTACATGAGAACAAACTCTCTGAAAAAAAATACTTCGTGGTGAAAAAATACTTAAAATGGATTATGCAATATTCTAAATTTTTAATTAATTGTTTTTTAACACGATATTAGAATTTGGAAACTATAAAAAATTTTATAAAGAATAGCACATTTCAATTGTGAAAAATATGAGTTGAATATTAATTTTCAACACAGCAACTCTAATATATTAATATTGTAACACTATAATAATTAAATGTCAACTAATTCTACACAAATACACCTAACGTCTTAAAATATTATTAAAATTAGTTTTTCTTTAGCAAGCCTAGGTGTAATAAAGTTTTTGTTTTTGTTAAATTGTTTTTTCCAAACTTCTTAAAATCATTCAAACTTTTAAATTTTAATTTATTTATTTTATATTATTTTTAATTTTAGTGGGTAGCTTTTTGTTTGCTTTCAATTTTGATTGCTCAATCATTAGCGAAAAAGAAAAACTCAAAGGATGTTAATCATAAATCTGAAAAATCTTTAACAACTCAACGTGTTTCTGTTGTAAATACACCTTCAGAAGCGAATTCTAAAATAATTGAAACAACAACTACTTTAAAACCAACAGCACAAAGACGTAAAAGAGGTTCAAGACATAAGGTTATTCATATTGTTGATGCTACATCAAAACGTAATCGAAAAAATCGTAATTCAAAACCATTTCAACCACCATTACCATTAAAATATTCTGATTCTGATACTGAACAAACATCTCATGAAACTGTAACTCATACTGATGAAATATCAACTCATACATCATATGCTGATGAAGCACCAACTATGCTATCTGATGAAGCCAAAAATCATATTGAAAAAAGTTATGAATTAAATAAAGTTCCATCTGGACCAGATTTTGAACATGTTCATTCACATCAATTTGATGAAATACAACCGCAAGCCAGTCATCATCATGGAATTGAAGTTCATAAGGAAAAAGTTAAAGTAAAACATCATCATCATCATCATCATCATAATCATGTTAAAGAAATTATTAAAAAAGTTCCAGAACCGTATCCAGTTGAAAAAATCGTTCATGTACCAAAACCATATGCTGTTGAGAAAATTGTTGAAAAGAAAGTTCCATATCCAGTTGAAAAAATTGTTGAAAAGAAAGTTCCAGTTGAGAAAATTGTTGAAAAAATTGTTCATGTTCCAGTTGAAAAAATTGTTGAAAAAAAAGTTCCATACCCAGTAGAAAAAATTATTGAAAAGAAAATTCCATATCCTGTAGAGAAAATTGTTCATATTCCTGTAGAAAAACTTGTACATGTTCCACAACCTTATCCTGTAGAAAAAATAGTTGAGAAGAAAGTACCGTATCCAGTTGAAAAAATTGTAGAAAAGAAAGTTCCATATGAAAAAATTGTTGAAAAAATTGTTCATGTTCCGGTTGAAAAAATTGTTGAAAAAAAGGTACCATATCCAGTAGAAAAAATTGTTGAAAAGAAAGTCCCGTATCCAGTTGAAAAAATCGTTCATGTTCCAGTTGAAAAAATTGTCGAAAAAGTTGTTCATGTTCCTGTTGAAAAAATTGTTGAGAAACCAATTCATATTGAAAAAAAGATACCATATCCAGTTGAAAAAATAGTCCATGTTCCTGTCGAAAAAATTGTAGAAAAGGTTGTACATGTTCCAGTCGAGAAAATAGTTCATGTTCCAAAACCATACCCAGTTGAAAAAATTATTGAAAAAAAAGTTCCATATCCAGTTGAAAAAATTGTTCATGTTCCAGTAGAAAAAATTGTTGAAAAGGTAAACTCTAATATTGCAAAACAAAAAACATAAACCGGTTAAATTGAATTTTTAAAATACAATATATATTTTTTTTTAGATTATTGAAGTTCCAAAACCTTATCCAGTTAGAGTACCAGTTCATATCCATGTTCCAAAACCATATCCAGTAGAAAAGAAAGTACCAGTACCATATAAAGTTGAAGTTGAAAAGAAAGTACCGATTTTCATTCATCATAAGGAACCAGAACATCATCAAAGCTTTGATGGCGATTATGGTGATGGACATCATATTAATTATGAAGTTCATTCACCATCAAATGATCATACTGGAAGTGGCTATGGATCTAAAGATACAAGTAGTGCTCCCTCTTCATATATTTTTCATAGCGACTTACCACGCACTTTAAAATTACAAAAACATAAAAATTTAAGAGAACTTAAAGCTAAATTAAAAGCTCAACTAGATAGTCAATCAATTAATAATTTTGGTAGGTATCCAATTATAACAAGTCCATCTGGTTCTGATAATACAAATAAATTACCTGGACCATTAATTATAGGAGTTAATAATTCAGCTTCGTCAATTGTATACGGCAATCGTCATAATTATCAAACAGATAATATAAATAAAATTAATTTGTATAATAAATCAAATCAGAATATTAGTGATAGTTCTAGCAGTAGTTCAAATAATAATCCTCAAACAACATGGCAGGATACATATCAAGATTATAATATTGAAGAAAGTGCTCCCCAGCCAGTTGCTGTTCGAAGAGAATCTAGTGAAATTGGTAATTCAAATAATGCTGGTAAATTACAAATAAATGTTCCTGATCAAGAACCAGCAATTCTACCAAAACCGGAAGCATTAGTACAAGAACAAAATCATGAAGAGAATCAGCAAAAAATGCAAATTGAGCCATCACATATTCAATATCAATATATTCCAATACAACCATTACCATTTCAACCACAATCAGTTGGTGTAGTTGGACAAATAGGTGCACCACATTTCATATTTGGTAATTTTCAACCTGCTGAGGCAACAGTATAGGAAAAATATTTAAATTTTTTAAATTATTAATTTCATAGTAATCATAATATAGTAGTATATTGAGATTTTATATAACAATTTAGTTGGAAAAAAAAAATATGAATTTATATGCAAGTTGTTAAATATTTTAGTTTAATATCGTACTTTAATTCTGTTTTTTTTTTATTTTATTTTTTAAACATTAATAGAAGTTTTATGTTATTTGGCATTTAAGTTTATGATATTGTATACGTTATACAAATTATACATTGTAAATAACCAATTTATTTTATATAAAAAAAAAAAAACACTAAAAAACGTATTATGTGATAAACTGTTTTATAAATTATATTATTAAAATTTTTATAATAAATTTTAGTAAAAGAATTCTAACTATTCAATTTTTTATATCTATGGGGGTTTTCGGAAATTCAGTTCTAACTTAGATGATAATATAAAGCATGTTCGATAAATCCAAAACTACAAAATCTTCAAATGTAACATGTTTGATAAATCTTTGCTACAAAAAAAAGTACGTTCGAATAGAGTAGAAACATGCTTAAAAGTGTCTCAAGCATTTTAAAAGATTTTTTTAAATGCTACCAAAAATCATTTAGAAAATAGTAAGATTTTAATATCATCCTAATTTTAAAAGCTGAAAAAGAAAATCTGAGTTTGTTCTTGTAGATCATGGATGTCAAGACTTTTGAAACTATGGGCCAATTTCCAATATTCTGTATGACAAAAGGGCCACAAAATAAAACAATTATGTAATTTTATTAGAAGTACTGGGAGCTGAGTGACACTGCTTCTGTTGAACATGTCTTAAAATATTGGGTTGCATATTTGTAGTAGCCAATCGTAGAATTGCAAGTAGATTATCATAATAAAACCATAATAATATTTTAACAATTCGTTTTAGAGGGCCGCACCAAAATAAGAAAATGGCCGCATGCGTAGATCCATAATAATGAAAAAAAGATTTTTCAGATTTAAGTTATAACTTTAAGTGCATATCTGAATTATTGAAAATCTCCTAATTCTTTTTTATATTTACAAAGAATATATTACAAAGAATAATATTACAAAGAATAATTCTTTTTATTTACAAATAAAAAGAGCAAAAATCTAAAAAATAAAATCTTTTTTTTGTAAAAATACGAATTATGAAACAAAATTTTTAAATCAGAAATATTGAAACACTTGTAAATATTAATTATTTAATTAATCATCAATATTCTGTGAAACAAATCACTTGAATTAATTAAATATTTTTCAAAAAATATTAAGGTATTCAGTAAGAAATTTTAAATTTCGAAATTAATTTTATTCTGGAAATTGTACATTTTTTCAATAATACTCAATGAACTTAAGAAAAATGTCTAGGACAAAATTCTGTGAAATATTTTACTAAATGAAATTAGTTAAGATTTGTTTAAGATTTATTTGATTTCATGAATCCTTATAATTATAGAAAATGTCAACATTTTTTTTTTTGCTTTAAACAAATAAAAACTTCCATAATTCCATTTAAGGAAAAAAAAATTTTTTTTTTTAATTGAAATCTTTCAAGTTACAAATCTATATAGTTTGGTATAACAATAATTTTTAAATTAATTGACAAAAAAAAAACTTATATGTATATGTACATATATATATAAAATAAATGAGCAATAAATGAACATTATAATTTATAAAATACATAAATAGTTAATTATTTTGTACAAATAAACAAGAACTACATTTCTAGAGCTGTAAGTAATAGTTTCTAGTAATAGTTTTCAGTAATAAAAAATGTTTCCTATGCAGTATTTAAAGAACATTATTATTTTTTTTTATTTGATTTTAATTAAAAAAATAGTTATTTTTCTCTAGCTATCTATTTTCTTTAAATTTATTTAAATTATAACAAATTTTTTTTATTTATTTTTAATGGTTATCTATTTATGATTTTATTATGTAACAAATATTGTATATGTATTTTGTAAACATTTCGAAAATTTTATAATTAACTTCTAAATAGTTAATAATTTAAATTGTACATTGTTGAATTTTTCAAAATTTTCTATTGTAACATAGACAAAAGAAATGGAAAAAAAACATTTATAATTTTTTAAAATTCAAAAGAAATCAATTAAAAGAAAAAATTGTATATTTAATAAAAATGAACCACAAAAAAAAATAAGCTAGTAAAACAAAACGAAAAAAAAAAATTAAAGTTAAATAATCCTAGGATTGGATCAATGTAAAGAAGATTAAAAAGGAAAAAAATCTAACTTAAATTATCACACACAATAAACTTAAATCTAATCATGAAGTTTAAACAAAAATAAAAAAAAATAATTAATAATAAAAATAATAATTAAAAAAAATGAGGTACAAAGTATAAAAATTTGTATAGTTATTTTATATTAAACATTATTTATAATTAAAACATTTTCTTCTTCTTCTTATAATTAATGTTTTTAATAAATTTTCTTTGTTTTATGAATATTTTTTTGGAATATTTTCAATGAGAGTTTTTAATGAGGCAAAAAATTAAAAAATTACAAATTAAAAATGAAAAATAAAACTATTATTCTTGTTTTAAAACACCCAGTTCTTCGAGTAATTGTTGAAAACCTTCTGGATAACGTCCAGCATCTAATTCAGCACTCCATTGTTTATAACGATCTAATTCAGCACGTAATGCTAATACAGCCTTTTCACGATCAGCAACCAATTCTTCTAAATATTGATAACGTAATTTTTTTCTGGCACGGCACTCACGAGCGCTTTGTCTGCTACGTTCTAAAATTAAAAATGACAGAGTAAAAAAATTTTTTTATTAAAATTAATTTTTAAAAAATAATTTAGTAAAAACATTTTATACTTTTACAATGAATTAAATTAAAAAAATTCTGTTTTTATGATTAATTAGATTAAAATTTTTATTATAATTTAAAGGTTAATTAAGGTAAATTGTAAAATATTAATGAGATTGTGTTATTTACCTTGATTTACTTTAAATATAATCATGAATATTATTAATTTAATTAAAATTTACTGTAATTTGTTTTCATTGAATATTTTTCTGTATTGTGTTATTGTGATAATTTGTAAAATTTTAAATTCATCAAAAATTTAAAAAGCTATTTAGAGTAATCATTAAGCTTTCAGATTTGTGTTGCATACTCAAATATTTTTTTTTTTTTTTTTTAATTTTTGAAGAATTTAAAATTTTACAAATTATCACAATTACATACGTTGTAGTTGTATAAACTATAAGAAATCCAATTATTTAAATGAAAAATTCATATTTTATAATTAATTAGAATGTAATTAAGAGATAGATGATAGATTCACTTAATTATAAGATTCACTTTTTTTTTTGTAAAATATTTTAAATTGATTTTGTAATTAGTTGCTAACAATTTAATATTAAGATTACTTTAATATTTTATTTAATTTACCTAATTTGGCTTTCATATCAATTTTTTCGGCTGAAGCTTTTCTACCTGGTTTACGTCCGCGTTTTCCTCCTTCTTTACGCTCCTAAAAATAAAATCAAAAAAAAAATGGTATGAAAATTTAGAGAAAAAAAATAGATACTTATTAAATATAAAAATTAAATTTTTGTAAATGGATAAAAATAAGTATAAATGGATTATATAAATTCATAAGATACTAAAAATTTTTGCCACAATTTTATATAAGTACGGTTAAGAAATCAGAAAAGAACAATTCAAAACCTAAAAATGGACAAAAAACAACTTGCTTTCTGTTCATATATTATTTTCTGTTCTGTTCTATAAGCTTTCTTTTATATATTTTTATTTTAATTATTTATTTATATTTGAAAAGCATTAGATAAATAATAATTTGTCTATAATGAAGTAGAGTTTTAAATATTTTAATTGAATATTGTAATTGTCCGTATCAATTGTTGGTTGACAATTAACTATTTCCAACTACATAGCGTAATTAATATTACCATTTTCAATATTAATAAATATAAGGTTATAGTATTAAAAAAATTAGTTAAGTTATTAATATTGGTTAGAGTTAGGCAACTCTTCGGACGAAGAAAATGTGTTTATGATTTTAAAAGAACAATAATAAGATGAACTATAAATTCCGGATAATCCCAGCACGTTGACGTTATTAAATTACCGTATATGTAATTAATTACAATTAAGCTTAACAATTAACAATTACACTATGTTTATTATGAAATAAAACGTCAGACAAATATTTATTCACAATGACAGTGATAATTCGAGACCATCATTTAATTATTAAATTTTACCAATAGTCTACTGCTGAAATTTAAGTACTAACATACACTATTAATTAAATTTTAGGATTAAAATCACACATAATTTTAAAAGAACTAAAATACGATTCCAATATAACAGAAAAAAAAAACCCGGCGAATTAAAAAAAAAATTGCTCAATTAGATTATGAAGAAATTCTAATTTCATTTTTAGTAATTGCGTAGTTTTTGAAAATGAAAACAAGTAAAAAAAAAAAAACAAAAATGAAAATTGGCGTGTTTTCTTATTTACCCCTTTCATCTGTCCCATACCTTAAGCTTTAGATTTTTTTTTTCAGAGTATTTGTACATGGCTATTAATGTTAGTTATTTGTATGTGTTGTTATAAGTACATTTTCTACTAAAACATTCATTCATGGAAAATATGAAATGAGTAAAATATAAAAATAGAAAAATTTATAAAGAAAAAAAAAAAATACCGGTTGAAACGTAGTTTTTTTTTTATTTATTTTATTATTTTAATAAATTAATAAAGAAAATTAAATATTAATTTTGACAATTTCAAATTGATTTTTTGCACCTTAAATAGATTTTGCTAAAAAAATTAATTTCTTTAGCTCTAATTTATAGAAAATTAGAGTGCAATGTATAAAATGTAGGAAAAAGTAAGAACTTTGTACAAGTGGTATCGTTAGTGGTGTTTCGGGTAGAAGGAACGATTTCAACCGACTAAAATACGTACAAGGGGGTTAAATAGTGGTCATTTGTAGAAGGCGACAATTTCAGCAGACTGCACACAAAAAATTTTATTCAGAAAATTTACAAAAATTTTTTAATACCTATAAGCACCCTATTTTGTGCTACCATTCATTACTACAATAAAAATTTTTATGAAGAAATTGTTCAAATTATACCAACACTTCATATAATTATAATGATTATTGTGTATTGTTAAAGTTGAGAAAATTCACTTTATTGTAATTTTGAAAAATTCAAATGTATAGTGTACGTGATAATTATTTCAAGTTATGAATTACTTATATTCGTAATTCAAATGCTTTTTAAAGGTATTTTTTAATTTTTGTATATAAAAATGTTAAATTTAATAAAAGTTGAGTTAAACCAGTGATTTATAAAGTAGCACTTTTTCCTTAAACAATTAAAAATACTGCTTTTGAAAACAATTTAACATTATTTAAATTAATTTAATTTACTTATTTACAAAAATATTTCAAATGATTGCATACATTTAGGATGAGACGAAAAAAAAAATTAAAGTGGCGTTAACATAATGATGATATTAAAGGGTTAATTGCGCGAGTTGTCGTTAGTTCTCCAAATTTATAAGAATTTTAAAAAGCTCGCGATTTCGGAATTGTAAGTTGTCGAAAATTAAATTTTACAAATTTCGAGAGAGGATAACTTGAGATTAAAAAAAAAATTTTCCTGGAAGTAGTACCTAAAAGGTGTTAAGATTTCAAATCCCTGTCCCAGACCAACTTGCGTCTAGAAAAAAAAAACGGTATTAAAAATTTAAGAAAAAAAAACGGGTTTTAGAAATTGGTTAACTTAAAATTTTTAGAAATATTGTAAACAAAATCACAGACAAAAAAAACCGGCGGGCGCCGGACAGTCAGAGTTAAACTATAAGCAATTTTTTTTGGAAAAGTACCAGTTCATTGAATATGTATACAAAATCAATTGTTAAGTTAATTTTTTTTTTATTATAAAATGGCATTGTAGTAAAATAATCGTACCATTAATATTTATACAAATTACATTTCGTATATGTATATATAAGTGGAATTTTATTTTCACCACCCTTAACACAACCATTACACTAACTATTCCTTCTCTATTTTTATCCTTATAAAACTTGTTTAGAAATTGAAATTAGAATAATTTTTAGCTTAATTTAAGAAAATAATAATTGTAACCTTGTTTATTATACGCTGTAAATTTCAGAATCAAATGCATGTTATGATTTTTGAAAATTTTTTCCATTAATATACAAATTTAAATTGAGAGTGGTTCGTCACCTACCTAGTCAAACTTATGACGTAAAAAACTGGTTCATTGTTATCTACAATATCGTGAACCAGTCCTATGCTCTTCCCAGGAGCAAAGTAAGATAAAAAAAGTTGAGAATGGCACTATGCTTGATTATATATGAGTCGAATACAATGTTTGTGAAGAAATCAAAATTAAAGACAATCTAGGGAAAAGGAACAAAATCGTTTGAAAAAATAGTATCAATGGCAACCCTAATTATATACGCTTTATTGCTTCTTTCGGCAAATAATTGAATGAACCTTAAAAATTTATTGAAAAAAAAATTCCTTTCATCTGTAATAATTAAATTCGGATTAAATAATGTTTGGATATAAACAGCAAAGTACATACATACAGACTTTCATATACGAGTACATATAGTTAAATAATTTTTTAGATATATATAAATATTTTTTTAACATGCGTTAGGAAAACAGATTAAATTTACCATGAGTGTATTATAAATATTTGAAAAAAAAAACATTGTGAAAATATTTACTGCTATCGTTTTTATTAAATAAGAGATAAAATTAAAAAAAAAAAAAAATAATTCATTAAAAACTTTAATTGCGCCTTAAATTCACATATTCTCATTCCATTGGACATATCAGTTTAAGTACCAACATAAGTACCTACGAGTATATACATATGTACCTATACATAAGTACATTTTTTAAATACAATTTGTGAAAAAATTCCATATTTGGTAGTAAACATTAAAAATTCTATATGTACTCATATATAAATTAAAAATTAACAAAAAAATATATTTTCTCTCCTTTCTAAATATTTAATTTTTATTTTTAATGAATAAAATATTTAAATTTTATTGTTATATGTATATTAATTTTTAAACTATTATAGAAAATTGATTTAGGCTAAACAACATTGTCTGTATTAAATATTACGTCGTATTATTGTATTACGAGTATATTATGTATATATGTATGTACAATTAACTATTGCGGTTCATATGACAGAGTTACCCAATATTTTTTAATTAACAGAGTTTTGTAAAATTCCAAATAGGGAAATTCTGTTGATGACAATTAATAAGCATGTATATACTAAAACTACATTATGCATATTTGTATATTATTGCAATATATTAGTAACATTTTAAATTTTAAACTCTTTTATTAATGGCCAATATTTAATAAGTATATTGCGTAAATTAAAATATATACACTGCCCTGGTAAGTATTTTAAAATATACTTACCAAGGCAGTATTATATATATTGAAATTTAAAATTACTCATGTTAGGATAATGTGCAGGATGTATTAAATTAAGAGATATTAAATACGAGTACGCGATTTTGCGAATTTCGAAAATAAAATCCCGAAATTTGGAATCTTAAAACTAGAAAAATTTCATGTACAAATTGGATTTACTTTAGAACACTAACAATTTTGCGGTTCAAATTTTAACCAATAATTTTTGGAAAAAGTTCCAATTAGTAGATATAAGACAATTAAATTTCAAAATTTTTAAAATCTTAGTACTTAATACAATCTTCTTCTAAAAATTTCAACCATTATTAATATATCAATGGAATATAGTATATATTCCATTGCTATAATAATAAAGCAATGGAATTTTCTATTTGAATTAATTGAAATTTAATTGATTAATAAAAATTAATTGTAATACATACATAAATTTATTTTTCTATAAATTATAAGTACTTTAATTTTAAATTTTTTTTTGTGAGAGTGGTTTTGTTTTCCAAGTATAACAATATATACAATAGAAATTTTCATAAACGCAATCCGGCAAAAACATTACGTACTTAAAACATTTTTGACAATTCTGTAACAAAAAAAACGCTTCTTGCAACAATTTCACTATATTGCTAATAATATAGAAATATTTATTGAAACAACAAACTTGACTTGCAAACATTTTGTTAATGAACGTAAAAATAGCTCAATTTTGACTGTATATATTACGATATACACACCCGGTATCATTTGAGATGACGGGAAATTGCTGCAAAGAATTTTATTTTACTGATTAGAACTTCGATTTTTTGATTTGTTTTTTTTTTAGAAAATTACAATATTTTTAAATAACAAATCAATCCCGTCAAGTCATACGACTATAAGAATACGGTTGGATGTGTTTATGAAAATCCCAAAATAATTTTCAATCATCCGAAATTTTATTTAAGATATCAAATTGGACACTCTGCTTATGACAATAGGCATATGTAATATTTTCGAA